AAAATATTCTTCGTAACATTGAATTTCTTTCATGTTCAAGATCGAGATAATTTCTTCCAAACAGTAATTCATAACGTGCAAAATTTCAGTAATTGAAATTAACTTCCGATATTACCAGTTGAATAAACGGAAGATTATTATGAAACATCAAACAAACTTAAAAATTGATGTAGCGTGTTTTGCATGCATTAACGAAAAGTTGCATGTCTTCTCAATATTTGCCTTAAATTACGTACCTTCTTGGATAATCAAATCGTATTACAGGTAAGCTCCAATTTTTATTCTGAGGAATACTGCACTGAGGAAGTATGTAACGCATGCTGTCATGAATGGGGTTTTCAAAGCAATTATGATGCTATTATATGATACCAATATAAATTACTTGTATAAATATAAAGCTGTGGCGCCATTCATCCTGAATGTACTAAAAAATTGTAACTATCGATAGAAAAAAGTTACTAGGACCTATATTAGAAGTAGGAAAATGACACGAGTTAAAGATTGATAGAAAAATTCTTAGAAAAGCGAAGCGATAAGACACATACTGGAATTTGTTTTAAACAAACAGCAATCTGTACCTATATCTTACATGTTCTTATCGAAAATCTTACATAACTGATGACATTCGAGAGAAAAGCATTATTCCGGCCACTTGAGTTCGATCTTTCGGAATGACACAAAAGATTTTCGAGCTACCTTCGACGTGCGACCGTTACCTACACCTCGAAGAAAAGAATTATATCAGAAATCTTTCGGCACAAAGAAGAAAAAATAAACAGTCAAATAACTTTTTTCCTTGATAAAAACGGTCTTGCCGAACTATTCAGTAGAATAAAATTCATAAGACGCTGACCGCTGGGGTGCTGACCACATTTTCGTAAATATCCCCCGGCCATTCAATGGGGATTTCTACTAACTTTTTACCTAAGTCGCTTGATGATATTATATAACCTGTCAACGGTGTATTGAATTTCCGAATAAGAATTTGTATACTTCGATAATTCCGAACCTAGATAAAAGATTAGGAATATACAATATGAAGGTAAGATTTATTTCTACATTTCCGTTGTAGAATTGTGCCCACTGTCCATATACGTATAAAAAATGTGAAATATTCGCATTAAAACTTTATACAATTAAAGAGTAAAATAAATACCTTTTTTCACATTGTCCTTAATGTCTTGGTCCAGAAAGTTTCATCCCAATTATGATTACCGTTAATTAACGTAAATACAGCGTAAATGGACAAATTAATTATTGTCAATTAAGTGTTAACAAGTTTTTATTGAAATCGAATTAATTTAAGTAAAATAGTGTTCGTTTTTTGGTTCTTCTTTCAACCATTACGTGACGTTCCGATAGGGCAAAAAGGAACGTCGTAAAAAGCGGTCTGATTAAGAAAGAAATTATATGTAACGGGAATTTTAAGTATTTGCAATAAATTTGGTAATGATATAAAAATTCTTTGGTTAAATGGACCTTCTCTCAATTAAAAATATGAAAGCACTTTTCAGGAATTGACTAATTGTGCCGCGTTCGAAAAATAACAGCACCGGGTGTTTTAATACGAAACGAACGTTTCGATTTAATTAGGTATCCATATCAGTTGATTAGTAGCTAATTTTTAACATCTAAGTAGTTTAGTTTATATTATAATCGCTGTGCGAAATTAAATTTCTCTTTTTCCTTCGATTTACCGACCTCCCAGCGTAACTAACTCCATTTACGTCCACGTTGCACTCATTTTTTTCCTTTTATTTTTCTCGTTGTTAATTGTGCTACCTGTGAGTTTCGATTTAATGAATGTAGAAGCCGTGTGAGAGCCTTTCCGATATATTTATTGAATTGTACTACAGCGTTTACATGAACTTTAAATTCAAAATTTACGGCCCCGTCTAAATTAAGTTGTTAAGCTTGATTAAGTTCAGGTTTTGATGAGAACTGGCGGTAGTCGCTTCAAGAAAAATGTTTAAAAAACTTGTAGCTAATGTAATTTGAATGCGCATGGGATTGTGAAAACGTTAAATACCTTGAACAGTACGATAAACGATTTGAATAATTGTTTTAGTTCATTATAAAAGCCATTAAAAAGTATTGAATGGATCCATTAACAAATTGGAGAAGATATATCAACTTACGAGGGTCTTTTGTGTTAGGAAATTAATTTCACTTTTTGCTCCCTGAGAAACTCGAGAGGGATAAAGAGATGAAAAAAATATTATAAAAGGATAAACGTTAATGAATTCGATGCAATTAAAAATATTAGCCGAATGGAAATCTATTAAAGCCCGAGCATAAATCATTTACATTTTTTGAATGATGTTTCAATAGGCGAAGACGCGTTTAAAAAATGGAAGACCATCGTGTGTGCATCGACTAATCATCTTTCACGTTGATGATGGTTCTTGCACTACTTACATGTGGATTACAAAATTCATACTCACGTAACAGCATGACCTGTTCTTTTAAATATTAAATTATTTATGTATCTACTCCTTTGATACAACTATTTTTTAATATATGAAAAATGATTGGACTTTCCTCGTAAAACAAAAGCCCATCCGAAAGGAATGTCGTAAAAACCGGACAATCTCGTTAAAGATTTCTGTTTCGCAGCTTGATACAATGTAAATGAAACACAACGCGTAAACCAAACTTGACGAAAGTTTTCTTTCGAGATACGTCTAAGAAGAATTTTGTCGTTAGCGGTAACACGACAAAATGTTTTTTAATCGTCGTCATAAATTCTTATTTTCAAAACAATTTCAGATTCCATGTTTTAGATAGTAAGTAGATGATTAATTTCGAAGTTTACACTCTAAATTACACATGGTGTTTCTACGTAGAAATGTTTGAGCCATCAGATTTATTTACCTATATCGTAACTGATTAATTCGATAAATATATTTTTGCTTGCAATACTCGCACTATTATAAAAAGCAATTACTTCGAGCCCTTACATTCCATACTGTTAAAAGCGTGGGCGTTTGACCTCGCGGGTCCACCCACCAAATTTAATTATAGACCATTTCGAAAACGTTAAACGGCTAAATGAAATTCGTACGAAAGGTGAGAGTTGTAATTTACGGATGTATTACTGAGGAATACGATTCATGAACGTCATTTCTTCATCCGTCATCTGTCATTTAGCGGCGCGGTCTCGGTTTTTGTCGCTTTCAGGCAATCATGTTCCTTTTTATAATTTGATAATTACTATTCACCGGGTTGTTACCGAGATGTTACTCCGGGAACAATATGGTTTTTGCTTTTTGTTCGTTTGTACAAGAACGTACACGCGATTTTTAACAAGGTGTGATTTATTATTTTCTCTACATATAATCTTCTATACAGGTGACTTTCCTTGTACTTTTTATAGAAAATACATACATCTCAAAAGTGGGAAATGCATTGACTCATATAATGAAATATACAGGTAGTCTAGTAATTCATAAAAGTGATTGCCAATCCAATAAACATTTTTAAATCTTGTCACATGTTTGGCTAAAACTTTTATTTTCAGATTTTATTAGATCAATTAATTACCTCTTCAATTAATATTTTTTACTGAGCGTTTTTCAGCAACCTTTGCTCCAGACTCAAGATACGACTTTGGTGCAGTATCATGCTGCTCATAACCGTTTTTAATTTGCATTATCTACATACGCCTATAGCGACTACCGCAACTCATAAGCTCGTAACTGCAATTATGCGATATAAACATTAATTGTAATAAGCGAATAGGGAATTACATGCAAAGTGCGGAATTACATGCTGGTTTTTTACTTATTTTTACAACTTCCGTGATTTCAATATTTTAGTAGAATATTACGCTTGTTAGAAAAATGCAGTACAATGCCCATCTGTAAATCTCCCGAAGAACGAAAATTCGACGTCTGTGCCAATCTAGCAACAGCAATTATCAAAAATTACATACCCCAGAGAACGTACAAAACTGTAATTAAAAATTTTATTTATCTAATCGCATATCGAAATCAAGAATCACAAGAAACAGGTAGGCATTTTCGATTATTACGGTTAACCGTATTTTTTTTACTATTTTGTTGAAGTGGACTTGAGAGAAACTTATTTTATTAGTATATGAGCCCTATTAAAAGGTATTAATAATGAGAATGCCAATCTAGTAATAATGTTAAAATTAATAGAAAGTGTAATTTTTCAAATATCTAATTATGTAGGTATATTCTGAGTATAAAGAAAACTTAAAACAAATAATAGTCATTTATTGAACCCCGAATTTTTTTTACATTTGTTACTAAACTCAATTTTTATTTTTTTATTTCTTCGATTGAGGTTTTATTAAAACACCTTTTAAGCCTACAGACTATATCCTAAAAAGGATCACGACACGGTGATATATTTATGTATATGTTTGGTTTTACACTGCAATTATAATTAAGACATAATTTATTTCTTAATTTTCAACGGAATCATAACATCGAGTACGATTATTCTCCTCGTTGTAAAAGCGCGTAATCTGTTAATTCGTTAAGATATGACCGTTTCAGGTTTAATTGGATACATTGTAGAGCACGCCAAGAATGCTCATACAATATCGAATTTATTTTATTTTTTCATTATATGGTATTTAAAGTGTAAATAATTAGTTGAAAGAACTTCGTGAGCAACAATTTTACACCTTTTGTGGAAACACTAATGTATCGCTGCTTTTATATTTTTCAATTAATAGAGTTATTTTTAACTATTGAATAATTTTATCATTCGGTGTCAAGTTGAACCATATCAGATACACAAATTACATGCCTCGACATGTTATTAAAAAATTTTGTTTTTAACATTAATATCATAATGACTAAACTCACAACAGGTACGGAAAAACATACGTACGGTAGGTACCATTCCACCTCACTTATATAAATGAATTGTTGAAATTCTAAAATCTTTTAATATCAAATTAAACAGTCTCTATCAGTTAGATACAAGATGTATATAATTTAAGAGAAACACTCGCTTGTATTTATTTTTCTTTAGTTGTTCAAGTTACTTTAGTGTTCCTTTAGGTGTAAAAATTGTGGAATTAATTAATTTTAAATCCACAACATTACAACCATAATGATTTTGTCTGTTTTATTAACGTGCCTATTAGTAAGTACTTTTCAAATCTATTAACTTTTAGTTCAAATAGCCTATGAATAATAAATGTTTGAAGATTTTTTAAATATATCAATTGGTGAAGTAAGTTTAAAAAACAACTGTAATTTTTACGTAATTGCTATATTTTATTAAACAATTATTACTTAAATATTATTTTTAATATTTTTTTTAATTACATTCACCAATTGTACTTATTGTTAGTTTTAGAATTATTTGACCCCAATTGAAAATTTTTAAATGTAAATAACATAGAACTTTTTTTATTTTAATAATATTAAAAAACTGCTTTTATTTTTAAGATTCAGCAAGTGCATCCCTACGTCGTTTCGGAGGAATACGATCTTGAATTCGCCGCACTGAAGAGCTCCCTCAAGAGGGTGGTACAAGAGCAAGTGCAAATAATCAGGGCGACTTTGGAGTACGAGAAATCGCTCGTGGTGACCGCATTAGAAAATTTACAGCGAGATTTAAACCAACTGCAACAATACGTCAATGAAACTGAAGCTAGAGCCGATGCAATAAATATGAGCATAGTGGACTGTTTGAGTAAAATCGAAGACTTTGGAAAGTTGAAAAATCAATTTAAAGCCATTGAAGATTGCCAAGTACAGCCGAATTTGCAGTTCCTACAAAAGGAGGTCAACTATTTTTCTCACGTTTACAACAATTTCGAACAAATAATCGTTTACGATTGTCTCGAAACCGAATCGAAAAATATGTACAAGACTAGCGATATTGACGGAAAACATCCTTGTATCGACGACCAAATCTCTCAATTAGAGGTAAGACTCGCTCTCGTCGAACAACTATCGGAGATATTCATAAAATCATCGAGCAACGCCTGCGCCGGTTGCGTACAGTATCAAATGAGTTTGTTAGATCAGAAACTATTTAAATTATCCTCAGCATTTAGGAATTGTACCGATGAAATTATTCAATAATTTGAATGTTTACCCAGCTGGTCATTTTACTACAAGTATTAAAGAATTTCACTTATAGCCAAGTTATTGTAATTCTTAATGGTACCTAGTAAATATTGTAATAATTCAGATTTTTTATTAAATAATTTTGTAACATTATATGTATATCTACACATAGTTATTATATACTTTTATTTAAATGTTTAAATTCAGAAGGAAACTAAACTATTCTATTTCTTAGACATGACTTTCCGATAAAAAAGTTCTCATTCTTTATTCGATTGACGCGCCACATGTAATCGAAAACTGTTGGAAACCCCATAAATAAGCCCGTTTCTTTCGGCGAGGGCACTAAATAAAGATCCACCGAAAAGAAATAATCCACATTTAATTGAATTGTCTCGTCGACAGAGTTTGGACCACCAGGCTGAGCATCCGGAGCGAAATGTTTGTTTATTTCCTAATCAAGTATCCTTTTGTTTATGTCCAATCACTGCAGTTACATCCAACTGATGCTGATTTGAATTGCAATACGAGCGCGCATAAATCCCTTCAGCGCTGGCATTTACTTAGAACGGTGGCTATAATTTAGTGCTTTTATAGTAGAGGAGCAACTGCCAAGCAATTATCCACATCGGATATCTTTAATGAGAAACTCCTTGTTTAAAAAACTTTAGCTTCATTGTTTTATCTAAAGTTTAGAGGCGCAATTAGTTTTTGAAATTCTGAATAAGATAAACTAAATAATTGTGAAGATACCCTTATTCTTTTATTGAAAAATTCACTTTACGGGCCTGACTATAAAGTTATCTTAAATACTGGTATCGATCATCAATTAATTATTGAATAAGAGAGGAAGAAATTCAAGCGCCACTTTACCAAAAGATATGAACTTTATGAGAATCAGCGATCTCTCATCTCCCAATAAACAAGTAATGTACCTACAGGCAAATAAAATAAATGAAAACCAGTTTTATTTCAAGTGTGCAAGTCCAATAAAGCACACTTTAGTAAACCTAATTTTCAAGTTTCTACAACTCGCACGCTATTCTTGAAGAACTAACAGCAATAAAAAGGTTTCGAATGAAGCAGCTATTAATCCGATCCCAAATTTTTAATAATTTGATACCTACGAGAAAAAAATGAACTTTTTGTTGAACTTTGCGCCATTAAATAATTTTTAGTGGCGTTATAAATCTCAGTTGCGCGACTATATATTATTTTAACAGCCACATAAGTAATTATCCGCTACGCATTTGATACCGCACCACCATCAAGTGGACGGGCCCTCCATTTGTTACCATAGAAAAAAGGAAATAACTTGAAAGCTAACAATTTGGAAATAGTTATCATACGAAATAACAGTGGCATGAGCTTGATGAAATATTGTGTGAGATTGTGTGCCGATACAGTCTTCAAAAGTTAAAAAGAAGAGTGAAAAATATCGTTCGAGTTAATAATCCACTTAGAAACCGACAAACTAAGTGCCGATTTCAGAAAATAAGAAGTGTAGTTGAACTAATGAATTATTATTATTTTTTATTGCAAAATTTGTACATAAAATATATGCAAAATTCTCAGAAGTCACCAAGAAATGTTGGAAGTACCTAACATAACAAAAATTCATTCTACTTAGGTATCTAATGTATTACTTTAAAAAACATGATGCTTATATTATGCACTTTTGATTTATCTTAAGCTCCTAAAAATGTTAATACACACTCATCGGGTTACCTTACTAAAAAAACCATCTATTTTTGCATTCCTGTGTCCTCTATCGCCAAAGAATTAATGAAAACGTTCGTTCTTATCATTTAGCAAAATCTGAACACACGAAAATTATTTCTCCGTGATAATTCAGCAGCTGATGTAGGCGCAGATTATTTAGAAATGCACAAAGATGAAAATTGTCGAAAGCAATAATACCAAACATACAGAGTGCTACTATACAGTACAATTGTTTTAGTTTTACACAGGATTATAATGATTATGTAGGTATGTGCAATACTTGTTTAAGATTTTTTTGGAAGTTAAAAAATATTTTATACCTGAACATGTGAATAAGAATGATACCTATAGATAACTTATCTAATCATTGTATATTTTAATTGGTTTATAACAGTTGCACAGTTTTACTAATACTTTTAATATTTAAATTATTTAACTAGATAAAAATGGAATATTTATTTTTGAATGCTGCACCTGTTGTCACCCACCCTGTAAAACAAGCCGTTTAAATCCGAAACAACTAAATTTCAATTAAACTCATGTTAAGCTGTCGTCATTTTGAAAACGACAGGCCGGTTTTCGAGATAACGCCGTATTTTACGTAAGTACCTATTAGTGTTAGATGGAGCCGTGCCTTTTGTAAAATTAATTTTTATGATAACGGCATTGCTGAAACAAACATTTAGAGTTGATAATTTTTTTCTGTTTGGCTACCAATATTGCCTGTTTTAAGCGTCTCTCCAACGTTGAAATCTTCGCAAAATTAATTTTTATGGTAATCGCCCGCTGTATCGGCGAGTGAATTGCAGCTGCTGTTGTTGGTGGTAGAACCAAATACTAGGTAGTTTATTTGCTAATTTTCTTATAAATAGTCGTAATATACAAAGGAAACAACTCAAAATGACAATAAAATGGCTTCACTAAACTTCCAAAAGGAAGAAGTGTGCGTGAGTTAAAACGAAGCTACACGAAAAGGATCTGCTCTGCTCCACTTCGTTAACATAAAAGTCCGACCTTGATTGTTTTTTAATATTATAATAACATAAGTCAATTCCATCATTTGCATATAGCTCTTCGTAGGTGCTAATTGATCAATCCCACCTCGGTAATTACGAAAATGGTTCACTTAATGCGTCCGAGGTAAAGAAGATTTATATCATCATATTTATATCAGTTGATCGGGGTGGCCAGACGGAGATGCCACCTTGGTTTTGGTCTCTGTCGAACGGCAATATGCATTAAACAAATTATACCTTTTCGAAATTCGGTATTAGATTAAGCTGTTTAAAACATGATCATTGGGTTGAATTTGTAATGAATTTAGATAATTTTATTAAATCGATTATGAAAAGTACAAGTACAATAAGGTGTGTGCTGTGTGGAATAATTGATAAGAGGCATGTCATAGCATTAACCACCTGTTTTGTAAATTTCGCTGGTTTTGTATTCGACACCATATGAGAAAAACGTTACAACATTCAGATTCCAAGGGGTTCAAACGAGCAAGAAAACGCTTGACCGCTCTACCTTAAAATTAGCGTCGTCTTGCGCTTTGTTCATTTAACTGCATATACTGTATAAACTCGATTTTTCTTTTAGGAGATCTTCCTGTACTTGTTTAAGCTAACCATAATTGATAATACTTACAATAATGTGTATACCTTTAAGAAAAAAAAGGCGTAAACAAGAATTACAAGAAACAGCAAATGGACATCAATTAATTATATCATACATGTCGATGAACTTTGTATTTACTTTGAATGCATCTTTGTTGATGAACAATACAAATATTTACACTAGATTAATAAATAAAAACAATAATTTTCTTGTAAATGGTTTTTTAAAGAAAGATTATAAATACTAGGTTATACATGAGCTCTATGTAATTAGTCAATACATTAAAAGTGAACAAGTTGGAGTAAAAATAATGTCTATACTGCTACAGTTGTCTTTCATGTACTGTTTGATATCGATGTTTTTCCTTGTAAGTATTAGTTTAGTAAAGAAATGCTTAATTTAGCAACTTTCCTGTATCAAATTATGTGAACCTTTTATTTAAAGATTTCTTTATTTTATTTATTTTATTTAGTAGCAGACAATATGTATTTTTATGAATGCAATTATTGTATTTTAGATAAATGACGCTCACAAAACTGTCTCCTTTCATAACGATTACACAACGGATTTTAAAACGTTGAAATTGAAAATAAAAGATGCAAATAAATTTTTGAAAGACTTAGCTTCTTCAACGTTGTATTCCGTAAAGTGGGCCATAAAGCAGAGAGTTACGGAACAAACCAACAAATTAGAGCAGTATTACAAAAGTTTGGGCAACGTAAAAGCGAATCCGGCGTATAAGAACATATTCGGCAGTTGTGCAGTAAACAAAGTTCAGGACCCTTTGGATTTTTACAAAATGAACAGTGTTACTCAGTGTTATCCGAACAAAAACGATATACTATCGTTGAAGAGGATTAAATCGAAGATATACTCACTGCAAAAATCAATTCCTAGTAATATTAAAGGATGCAAAAAATTCGGTCCCAAAATTCCTAAGAAATATTGCATTAGAAGAAAATTAAATAGCATTTACCAACAAATATTCTGGATTCAGTTTAGTTTTACGGCGAAATTGAGAAAAATTATGGATAATTCGGATAAATGTTCTTCTCTAATCGACAGGCGTTTTATAAGAAATGTCGACGAAAATTTACGCCGTGCTGAATATTGTGAATAACATAAGAATAATGCGTTACCTATAAGTATGAATTGTAAATGAGAATATTTATTATTTATTTTATATAATATGTTATAAGTTGGTAGTCATAAGATATTTAAATTCTTAATTTGTAAAAAATGATAATCCATCGCTTGATAAAAATATGTAATTATTTTTAACGTCTATTGAAATAGCTCGAATTTGTATTAGTCGTTAACAGTAATTTCGCTACTTTTAATGGTCTATTAGTATCCATTTTGTACCTTAACGACTTTAAGGCGGTTTTCAATTAATTTGAAATAATACAAAAAAATTAAAACCTACCTAAACAAATAACCCTTTTCATTTTCCCAACACCGTAATTATTTCAAATGGAATCGTTTTGGTTAAGTAGCGGTTGAATCCACAAATGTAACGCCCTGAAATTCAATTCGGTACAAATAATTAGTGCCGTCCATCTGGAAGATAATTTTTCATTTTCTTTCAGCTCAAAAACATCTTTGGCAAGAACTCGCATAAATATTTCATTTGCTCGATTTGTTGAAGCAGGTATTTCGCAGATTATAAAAAAATCTGCGATTATTCGGCTACCGTTTTCTTACCGTTTAATCTACCTTCGAGAT